TACATAAAACTCTAAAGCGGCTTGTTGACAGCCGTTGTTGGGTGGTTGCTGGAATAACTTGTTTTCCTTCCTTATTTGATATTTAAAATAGATTAAAACTGTTTCCATTAGAGTACAAGAGCCCTCTTAGAGAATAGCATGTAAATAAATCAAACCTTTTACCGCGTTTGTCTAATAGAGTGAGTACTTCTAGAAAAGTCACGACATTCACCACACAGTGCGAATACAGTTATGCGTTAAGTGTTTCTATACGATCTTCAGTTGAAATAGTTTTGCTCTATTTTAAGCCCATCAATTTGAAACTCTAAAAACATGTCCTCTAATTATTCACATTTGTCTATTTTTAGGAGTATTCAATGTATTTGATGGCAATGTCCATTTTTATTATGCGGCAGTATTTCAGTTTTTTGTCAGACTATTTGCTTGAATTCTTTTTGACATTCGATTTATTGTGTTGTTATTCTGACGTACAATATTGTCATTGATAATTATTTACGGCTTTTGAAGATTTTGTGTCAATGTAGTTCTGAGCTTATTTGTTTGTCTTATTCGAGTAGAAGAGTCGTTTTCTGCACATTAACTGTGCAACCTCTCTATCGACTGCGTGATGACATCATCACCTTTTCCTTGACTTCCTTGTAATCATTCACCACGGAAATGACAGACTTCTAAAAGAGATAAAAATGATGTGTTACTTGTTTTTGCGCTATTCTGGAATGGTTTAAAGTTGTTATTGTGCTAAAATCTAATATGAAATGATGTTTACTTAGCGTGTTTGCTTACCAAGCTAGCAGCCTATAACATTTCAGTTTGGTTAGTTGAATTCCGACTGGATTTGACTAAGTAAACGTTGAGTATTCAAATTGCTTTGTTGGACAGTCATCATCGTCGGGACTCAAGTGTAACTTGTATTTTTGGAATCTTGTGTTGATTCTCATTACTCTTGGTCACATCTGAAGCTAGTTTTGATCTAACGTGAAATTGAAGRWAGTCAAGCAAGCACTGACATAGAACTGTCTACATCACATCATTACATTGAAGGTGACGTTTCGGAGTAACTACTGTGACCTGCTAAAAGAAGAACGTTCTTGGATGGAAGCTGATCGATTTAATACTCATTGCACTTTTTCACCACTCTTTTAACCTGTTATACTACCAAGTCAACGTTTAATAGTTGTACTTCTCTGAAAATACTGAGTTTTGAGAGTTTCACCATGGTGCTAGACTTATAAAGCTTTTGACTTGTTGTCTGACTCAACCAATTATTGATTTTTGGAGAGCTTTTTACACCCAGACATAGTAACCAATGAAAGATACACTATGCTACGTTAATAGTCCTCGATATTGTACATAGTTAACAAACCTACAGCAACAACCCGCTTCAATGGCAACTCGTAGAAGTGACTAAAATTTTGTCGAGGATCAAACTGGAATCCACGACTTTTTAAACTTTATTCGTTATGGGCTCAAAATGAAACGCCATGTTATCAGCAACAAATCTCCTACGACCACCCCTAAGGGGAATGTCTTTGGTGTTAACAGCTGGGTAAGTTTGTTATGGTATAGTACCAGTAGAAACCACCTTTACCGACAGTCCTTGACTAACGATAAACCCGATTGTSGCTTCCGCCACCTCTGAGATTAATTGACACTTTTGTCGTTTAGTGAGATTTTTRGATCACTATTGTTTAATTAATCATCTCAACTTCCTTACTGTGCTGCAGGAACAGCCAAGTTTTGAAAAAACCGGTTTTCAAAAAATTGTCCGTGCTTGAAATAATTTCTTTAATCAGTGCTGTAGCTGATTTTTTACTGTGGTTGTTGATGATGTATTGGTGCTGCTGGATGTTTTGGTCAGAAAGTTTCAAAAGTTGTTGTGAGTGACCTTAAATGTTACGATAGTCGGAATCTTCAAGTAAAGATGTCTGTTTTGACTGCACTCGTATCCTGYTCATGCAATATAGCACGCTTTTAAAGACTGAAATCTTCATTTGTCTCATGAACAGGAATTTGTAGTTTTTAATGATGTACAGTTGATGGTAGTTTTATACTTGTGTATTCTTCATTCAAATCAAAGTTAGTAGAAAAGCAATCTTTTCCTTCAACTTGACTTCAAACAAAGTGACAAAAGTATTTTTTAGTCCAGTTATACACRCAATCCCTTMMAGCTGTCCCTTTTTAAGTGTAATATTTAAGCAAAAGCAATGAAACTAGTTACTTTTGTCCTAACCTTGCGGCATGCAACAAAAACGCGGCAAATGCTGTGTACTGACAGGGGGTCCCCATTGTATCAGCGGTGTATCAACTTATCCTTAAAGCACCTACTAACTCGACGACATATTGTCCAATTTAAGCTAAAAGTGCAATTCATTGCAGGGGAGTTTATCCCAGCAAGAAGGCTCATTTCACTGGCATGGTCTCTCGGTACATGCCTTTTTATCGTATTTCAATTCAATTATAGTATTATCAATTCAAACACGCAGTGGTTRAGTGATCCCTTGGAGTTCCTGTGGTTTTCAGATTGACCGACCACACAACAAGCGACGGATATCCACTTRAGAGTGCACAACACAATTACGATGAGGCTTTGAGGACACAGTGATTAATTCTTACGTTATATCCTATGATAGGATTTTATTATATTTATCCGCAGCTTCCAGTCAGTGATAGCTAAATGATCTTTAAATATCGCAATATTTCGCAATTCATACTCCGAGGCAGAGTCACGTGGTTGTCTCATAGTTCAATTTATTGCGGTTTATCAAATACCACCATTTCATTGATACGGAATATGTTCAATTGATTTTTTTTTTCGTGTTGGCTGATTGACCAACGGTTTCGTTCATCTCATATTTGTCTATCAATGATGGTTTGTGCTTAGCARGAACCCATTACTAGCATCGTCCATGTCCTTATTATGCAGGAGTGTCGCGGTGTTTTCATTGACGTGTCTACGTTTAGATTTTACTTCAGCGGTTTCTTCAATACTAGCCTCTTGCATAGCGTTTTTTAGAAAGACTAGTAGACAATTCTCTTTCACTATCATCCTCATCTGCCATGTTTGCTTATTATTTTATTTTGGTCGCCCCGCGTATTTCCCACACGCGCTGAATGCTGAATGCTCTCCGTACGTTATTTCCCAGTAGTGCAGATGGTATGAAACACAAAGTTGCTATGGACTACAGAACTTTAAAATGACCATGTKTATCTTTCTCCAGGCCCACTATCGACAAGGTGTTGCCCTTCAGTGTATGGGTCGCCATGCCGAAGCACTCGCTGCTTTTTCCACTGCACTTGCACAAGACGAGAAAAGCCCGCAACTCCTCAACACGCTTTATGATGCTGCTATGAAATCYCCTTTGAAAGGTTGGTTTTCAAGTTTATACGTTAGCTAACAAACAAGTCTTTAATGTAATAATGTCCCTAAATAACGTTCAGTCGGTTTCAGATGTCAACTTTYATAACAGTGAAATTGATTCAAATGGTTTTGAAAGCGTTATTAAAATTACGGTTATATCTTTGTTGACATGACTGATTTTTTTTCAGAAACACTCATCCCGATATGCGAACAATTGAAAACAATGAAATTGGACCGAAATCCCTTCGTTATGATCTCGGTCATTGGCCAAGAGTTACTGTCCATCGGTCATATCGCTGTTGCTGTAGGATGTTTGGAAGCTGCTCTCAARATAGGGACATGTGGTCTACGGCTACGTGGCTCGGTAATTTCAGCATTAAGTACGGCTTACTGGAAGCTTGGAAACATTGTCAAAGCAGAGGAGTACATGAAGCAAGACCTGGAGACTTCACAGTCGTTAGGAGACAAGGCAGGAGAATGTCGAGCTCACGGTAATCTAGGTGGTGCTTATTATGCACAAAGGGATCTTGAGAAGGCTTTAGARCACCATCGTCAGCAGCTTGCTATCGCCATGAAACTAAAAGACCGTAAATCTGCTGCCCTAGCGTTGAGTTCTCTTGGTCACGTGAGCGTCGCTGACTGTAACTACACCGATGCGTTATCCAATCACAGACAAGCATCTGTAATGTACAAGGAACTGGGAGATCGATTAGGAGAAGCGCGCGAACTTGGTAACGTCGGGGCGGTGTATGTACTACAATCACATTTTGACGATGCGATTCGCTGTCATCACGAACATCTTGAGATCGCTGTTGACGTTGGGGACAAAAGTGAAGAGGGACGAGCTTACAGTAACTTAGGTAGTGTATACCATTGCAAGAGAGACTATGAAAAGGCTATTCACTATCATAAATTAGTACTAGATATCGCTAAGAAGACTGAAGATTTTGCGATGGAATCACGGGCTTATGCCGGTCTTGGTCACGCCTACAGATGCAAGGGGGACATTGACGAATCTCGCGCTTACCACGAGAGACAACTGGAGGTGGCCGTGCGCTCCAAAGATCGTGTAACGGAGGGTAGAGCTCTTTCAAACTTAGGAATTATCTTACAGCAACAAGAACAGTATGTACAAGCACTAAAATTACACAAAGCACATTTAGCAATATGTAAAGAAACAGACGATAGAGCGGGACAAGGCCGTGCCTATGGAAACATGGGCTGTGCCTACAGTGCTCTTGGTAGATACGATCAAGCTATCAAATTCCATAAACAAGAATTGTTGATATCAAGAGAAGTTAATGACTACGCGTCGGAAGCGTGTACACACGGTAACCTTGCAGTAGCATATCAGGCAACGGGTAGCCTTGACAAGGCTCTTAAACATTATCAACAACACTTAGCTGTTTCTGTAAGCCTCAAGGATAGAACTAATGAGAGCACAGCTTTGTTCAATCTTGGGAATTTCTACAGCTCATGTGGTGAGTTCAATAATGCAATTCCTTATTACCAGAAATTCCTTCATCTCGCGATACAAGTCAAGGACTCYCTGGGTGAATGTAAGGGATGTCAAAATCTTGGATTCGCATACTTTTCTCTTGGAAATTACTCAGAGGCAGTGAAATACTACGAGAGAAACATAACACTGGCTAAAGACCTTGATGATCGGACTAGTCTAGCACGAGGTCATTGTAATATTGGACTTGCGCTCAGCGCATTGGGGAATTACGACAGAGCTTTAGATTATCAGAATTTATTTTTGCAAATTTCAAATGAATTAGAAGATGTGGAAGGAGTTTACAAGGCTTACGGGAATATCGGTGATATCWACATGAATTTACCGGACATACGAAAGGGAATCACGAATTACAAGGAACAAGTTCGACTGGCTCAATCTATGAATAATGTTAGTTTACTAGGCGACGCCTATGGTGTTCTTGGCAGTGCTTATAGGACGGCTACAGAAACAGGTCTTGCACTCGATTGCCATCAACGAGAACTCAAAATTAGAAAAGAATCCCAAGATTCTCTGGCAACCTATAGAGCATTTGGAAACCTGGGCTCGACTTACGTAGCGATSRGTCGTTATGGCGATGCTCATGAKTGCTACAATGAACAGCTTGTCATTGCTAATGATTTACGAGACATTACTCTGGAGGTGGAGGTCTAYGGAAATTTAGGATTATGTCAAATGCGTTCTGGTAATAGCCACGAAGCTCTCGGTTACTTYGAACATCAACTCTCCTTACTGGAACAACAACCAGATGCCTTCCTGGAAATTGCACGTGTCTATGGCAACATTGGAGAATGCCACCATCTTTTAGGACAAAACGTGGAAGCCGTTARGAACTACGAGAAGTATTTGTCAGCTGCACTACAATCTGACATCACTGCTGACCAGGATAAGGCATATCGTGGACTCGGTAACGCGCACAGAGCTATGGGAAGTCTACAAGAAGCTTTGGTTTGTTTCGAGAAAAGGCTTGTTGTGGCGTACGACTTGACGAATGTCGCGTCTAAGGCTACGGCATACGGAGAACTCGGCAGTCTTCATAAAAGTCTTAGTAACTATGACCAGGCATCGACGTGTTACGAACAGCAGCTTGTGTTCGCGCGAGAGTGCGGTGACGTTAATGGCGAGGCGGATGCACTTTGTGGCTTAGGTCTTGTCAGTCAAAAGGTTGGAGACTATGACAAAGCTGTGAAGTATCACGAACAGGAATTGATAATAGTTAGTAAACATAATGACATCAGCCGCAAAGCCCAAACCTACCACTATCTRGGAACAAGTCACGAGGCTTTAGGTGACTATAAACATGCTATCATCTATCAAGAGGAACATCTTAAGCTAGCCACTAAGATAAACGACCAGKTAGCCGTAAGTCAAGCTTATGTAAGTCTTGGCAGAGCATATCACGGTATGAACAACTACTCCAAAGCTATCTCGTACCTAAAGCAAGGTCTAATCATCGCTGATAGTTTGAAGAGATACGAGGACGAGGCCCGTATATGTCATAGGCTTGGACTCTCCTTATTGGCTGATAAACAATTGGAAGCTGCGCATGATCAGTTAAAACGAGCTTCTGAACTGCTGGAAAACATTCGTCGTGATGTCATTAACAATGGTGAGTTTAAGGTTTCTCTGTWTGATTTACAGTCGGCTTGTTATCAAGTACTGCAACGAGTGCTCGTTGAAATGGGTCGACATGTTGAAGCACTTGCTGTAGCTGAGAAAGCACGGACTCGGAGTTTTATTGATTTGTTGCTAGAACGACAGACAGTTGCAAACATCAACAAACAACAGCTAGAACAGGCATTTAACACAGGAGAACATATTATGGACTTTGTGAAAGGGCAGACGTCAACGATACTATACTACTCGATYGCCGCTGGGCACTTATACAGCTGGCTCATGGTGCCTAAAGAGGGTTTGGTCAAGTTTCGTGATAGTCTAGTTATTGATGGAGATTCTGATGACACCATTATAGACTTAGAACAGAGCTCGAGTGCTGAGTATTCCCCAACATCGTCTTTACTTGACTCCTACATTACTCAGGTCCGTGATGCTTTAGGCGTTGAACCTCACCTCAATCGCACYGATAACGAGCTGGAGGAATCCTTGGATCAGGACAATGTGTTGGGTATCTCGTCTTTACGGTCTTATTTGTCAGCGGATGAAGACGATGATACCATGAGCATTACSTCAACCCCAGGGAGGCCCGGATCGTTTTCACGACATAGAAATGTGAGGGGTAGTGTAGGGAAGCTGAATGGTGTYCGATTCAGTGGTCGTGGAAGATCAAGTAAGCCACCTTTGCGTGCTTTGTATGAACTTTTAATCGCACCAATGGAAGATGTATTGCCTACATCGACAACATTCGACAACGAAGGATCAGAGTTGGTGTTAGTGCTAGAAGGTGATCTTAACCTCGTGCCATTCTCAGTGCTACGTGGAAGTTTATCAAAAGAGCCATTGTTTCGTCGCTTTCGACTTACCGTTGTCCCTTCTCTAGATGTGCTATATAAGAGTCGAGATAAGATGCACAAAGATCGCCCATCAAAAGTCGACCTTTCATCAGCGCTTATTGTAGGAAACCCTGTTATTCCTGTAACCTTTGGACAATGGTCGTCTAACCCTAGCGCTGAGCATGAGGCGAAAATCGTCGCTGAACTGTTCAAGAGTAAACCACTTTTAGGTGGTAATGCTACAAAAAACACTATCATGAAGCAGCTTCCTACATCTCAATGTGTCCATTTCGCTACTCATGTGTCGTGGAAACTTGCAGCTTTGGTTTTGTCGCCAACTTCCTCAGAAMAGAAGCCGTCGTCACCACGTATGAGTCCTGAAGGCCTTGAACTACTTGACGAAACGGAAGGTGATGCTCCAGCTTTGTCAGATTTCTTGCTAACAGCCGCTGATATCCTTGATCTGCAATTATCATCTAAACTTGTCGTTATTGGTGCAGCTTACGACCACTCCTCGAAGAACCGAATAACTTCCGACGGACTGATCGGACTGACTCGTGCCTTTCTCGCAGCCGGTGCCCAAAGTGTTCTTGTTGCTCTGTGGCCAGTACCTGATTTAGCYTGTAAGCTATTATTGAAAGCCTTCTATGGAGGACTTCTAAAAGGGTTGACWGTCAGCCACGCCCTCAGTCAGGCAATGCACGTTGTTCAGAAAACCAAGCAATTTTCTCATCCTTCAAACTGGGCTGGGTTTGTTCTCATTGGTGGAAATCCAGCTTTAACCAGTAAAGAGATCAGAATGGGAAATGCTTTTGGTCTTCTTCTTAATAACCCTAAATTCTACAGAGAAGCTATGAAAGTACTTGTGCACCTTGTAAGTATACTATACAGTCGTTGATTATCTTTAATTTCTCAACTCGACTGTGTGATAAGATGCTATATTATAATTGATTGACTGATTGATARAGTGATTGACAAGACTGAGTGATAGTTGACCCAGAAGGCTCATTGATTATTGACTTGTATTCAATTTTATTGCTAAATTTAAATAGTCATGATATAAACACTGCGCAGTTCGTTAACAAATGCTTTCCTCAGGTTGACAAAGCTCTGCAGCGAATTCGTCAYGGTCAGCGGTCTTCCATGTATACAGCKGAAGCGAGCATCGACGCTAAAGTCAAAGGAGTCAAAGGCTGGCGTGAACTTYTGTCATCAGTAGGATTTAGATTTCAGACGGCTAAGAATTCACTTCCCGATTCAGTATTCTTTCCCTCAGCGACTGAAGGATCGAAGGAGCGGATGACAGTAGCAAGCAACCACCTTCACGCATTTCTAGGTAACGCAGGGGGGAGCATAGATGGTGTAACACGAGGGGGGGGGGTTGTTGCGCTAAGCTAAGATGTTGATCGTTTATTGAAAACATAGACCAAATTAAGACAATGTATATTCTGACTTGCTTTCTTGGTCGGCGGACATAAAACTGAAAGTGAATCTGACGAGAATGCGGTGATCTTGTCAATCAACCAGTGTCATTAGATGTAAACGGTGTAACTTTCTCTTAGACGAGAATGCGGTGATCTTGTCAAATCAACCAGTGTCACTTAGATGTAAACAGTGTAACTTCTTAATTTAATAGGTCTCAGTCCTGCCACCTTACAAGCTCTTGCCAAACTAGCGTACACCAATGATGTTAATGTTGCGCTAATAAACCTGGTAGGTACTCAGTCTTTCTCTGTAAGACTACTAAGTCCATATATTTATTTGTGTATTAGACAGATAGAAAGTATCACAAAAGAATAATATTGCAACCAAGATACTGTGTTGCGTTATTTACAAATGGTGAAATCTAAAAGATTGTATATGACACAAATGAGCTCRATAAACGTGAARTCTGCTACGACAAGTTGKTAGCATGATGTATCTCAGTTATAGATGAGTCATAGGGATACTTCAGGCCTAATTTGTGTGATTGACAATCCTGCAGCTCAACGAAGTTCTCAAGTGTTTCTTTAACAACATGGCGAACGTTCAAGTCCCACTCAAACTGAAATTATGGCGGACTTTGGGATGCCACGARTTGCTGGCATCACTGGGATTTGACTTGGTTGGTGTTGGGAAGGAAGAGGTTATGCTGAGATCAGGCAAAGCTAACAGTAGACGAGCCTTGCAGTGCACAGTACAAGCTTTGTGTGCTTTGACAGGTAACGCAATCTACATTTCTATTGTTTTTGTAGTCACGCAATCTTAATCGTTATTACCGTTTTAGATACTGCCAACCCACTTGACTCAGAAGAACCCAACTTTGCACTGATGGGCAAGTCTCACTCCTCGTCGACAGTCATGTCAAACTTATCATTCATGTCAGCGTCCTTAGGGTCAGATCTTGACATGCGCACTAAAAGCGCGGAGGATTTGAATTTTCTCAACAGAGAACGTCGCCTTGGAAGTTCAGGTTCTCGTGTTAGTACAACGGGACGCCCACGGCGTAACTCTCATCGTAGCTCCACCGAAGCCTTGATGCGTTCATTAGCAGACTTGGAAGCAGAATCGTCGGTTGATCCTGACGATAACGTTTTGTCAGCATCCCCCAKTGAAAACAGACCACAAACATTTCCTCCCAATGTTAACAGACGAACCTCTCAACGAAGTGTGTCAAGTATTAATGTTAGTGGAATGAAGGTATCCTCAGTTGATGTTACACCACAACCTCCTCGACAAGGCAGCCCTGGATCAGATAACTCTGACATGGACAGCTATTCTGACATTACGAYCCAACAAACACKTGATAAAGGAAGCCAAGGAGAGGCTTCCAAGGGAAGGGGTTTAGTGCTGCGTAAAACGCATTCTTCATCCAGTAGCGAATCGTCCACCGGTAAACCCGAGGAGAACAGTAGCAAAACACCAGGCAGTATAAGTCAAYTGTACACACAACAAAATAATGTCAGTTCATCAAAGCGAGGCCCACTAGTCGATGGTAACATKAAGACATCAACACCAARTCTACATGACCAGGAACCAAGACCAAAGCACTCACCAGTGAAGTACAGGTCAGAGGGGAATCTGTCATCTTATTACAATCCTATACACTCTCCTCCTTCAAACGGATTATTAACTACTTTACATGACCATACTGTGTTGACAAATGGCGATGTACGAAGAGAAACCTCRTTACCAATAGATGGAYCATCAGTAAATCGACCAGCTCTAAGACGACTCTTTGGATCCCAAGAGAAACCTAAAGTCAATGGTATTGCTGAAACCAACAGTTCAAGAGATCGTAAAACTAASGATGATGAAATGTTATATAATCAAAAGTCATACGCTAGTAGTTTACGTAATATATCAGGATCCAGCGAATACTTACCTTACACATCGCCTGCTCGACCTGTCACTACCCCGCAAATGACCTACACGGACAGAACGAGAAAACCTAAGGGTGTGGCTCAAGATTTATCTGTTCRTATACCCAAAGACTCTTACTCATCCAAGAGTRACTCGATAGAGTCGCTTACTAATAGACAGATTGCTGCTGAAAATGCAGCGGCGGCTCTCATGCAAAACCATCGTGGTGGCAAACAGGCATCCTCGTCATTAACCAGAGAAAACCTGGCTATGAAAGACTTTCGCGATAAGGGTACTTCACATGTCAAGTTAAAACACGATCACATCGCCAATTTAGCACATCTACATTCYTCCTCCTGCTAGGTGAGTTGATTTCTTGCTTCAAATTAGACAAGTAATGCTAAATCGTGAATCAAATTCAACCGGCATTTTTCACGCCGTTCAGCACATTTCAGCGAATGTAGCCTGTGTACATCCGTTTCTCACCCCTCAAAAAATCGGGGATTTTTTGAGGGGTGAGAAACGGATGTACACAGGCTACAGCGAATGTTGTTGTTGTTTCATTCTGCTTAATGTTGTTTCTTGTTTTGTTTTTAGAATTGTTATCACCAATTGTTACCAAAGAAGAAGAAGATTCAAATTATTGTTGGTATTCAGGGCAAGTCATTGTCGAACCAAAATCAAATGTGATATTACACTCTATTTTTGAAATRGAAAACGTTTATAGAAAGATGATTTCAGATTTATTAGCCGAAGATTTTTGTACTGATTATCAAAGTTAGGTATAATGGAATTAGTATTCTAATATATTGCAACACGAGTGGAAATAATTTGCATATSAATATTATAAATATCGAGTATTAATTTCCCAAAATGCGTGAATGTCCTTCTTTTAAATTGGTTTTAGTATTTTACAAACAATTAATTGTGATTGAGATTTTTAATCATTTTGATAATTATCATGAATCTGCTAGTGAAAGAYAAGATAACATGAGCCGCTGTGCAGAGGTTATCTTTGCAATTGACGTGATGTATTTTATCTGTTACAGTGCAATTACTTCAACTATTAAACCTAAAATAATTCCCAAATGAACGAGAGGCTGGGTTTTATTTTCTGAACTGAATTTGTTCGGAAGGTTTGKTTGGTTAAATGAATTGCACTGTAAAAAGGTTTGATTGTTTTAGTATTTGCTACCYGTAGATAGCAGTATATGCACTTTTCCTGGGAATCTTTAACCAGGATCTATAGCCGATATAATCGAAGCTGATAGCCTGCTTGGCAGACTATTAAAATATTTATGTTCGACAATCTCAATGAATGTTTTCGAGCATGAATGATATAGTATGCAAAGCAGGTTACGACGCTGACATCTTTCCCCAAGAAATAGAGAAAGAAAAAACAAGTTACGTCTCTATTTTATCTCTTGCCTCAGAAAACCCCATGAGCTTTGTAAAATGTTATCGCACTTTGATGATAGCAGGCAATACTGTGATCATCRTTAACAAATTTGTACTTTGACATCTGTCAAGGCTTTTAATCGACTTCACTGATGTTGTGTCTGTTTCATGGAGCTTATTTTTATTTTCTATTTATTCTCAAATTTTAATCATAACAGAAGTATTTTATATTATAACATGATCATGTAAATAGACCTTTATAAATATTTTCTCACAAAACCTTTTTAATAAATATTTCAGCCGCTATCAAACGAAAACTAGTTTGTGTTGTATTGAAAGGAGTTTTCTGTTTTTAAAGGGACATGGTCCACCAGCATCCCTTTCGAACTTTTGCTYRTGTTTGAAAATAMAAATACATCGTAATATCAGYAAAAACTTACTCTTTATTGTCCCTTTATACTATATRAATGGAGATATTGTAAGATTCGACCTTGAAACCGATGGATGGAAATGGATTCACCTCGCTTTCCATACTAATGAAAAATCTAATGAAAACAGGACCACAGTGAATTCTGGTGGACAATTTTCCCTTTAAGATAGTAGATATGCATCTCGACTTTGCCAAAATGAGTCAAAATGTATTCAAGAAATATTTGGGCGTGCAAGATCGGAAACGGTAGTATGAATTCCTTTGAAGACTTTCCTCCTCTGTTGATTTTTTGCTGTGTACCCCCCCCCCCCCCCCCCCCCCCTCAATGAGATCTGCGCCGCCCAATAATAAAACAGCACAGATTTGTCMAATGAAGTCTAGTCACAAACCTTTTCTATTTCACCCAAGTCATAAGGATTTTTTGGTCAGTTTSAAAGACTAACGGAACGGACATCTGCTCGGTGATTATTAATCTTTTACAGAATTTTGTCCTCTTTGCRCGGYAGAGAAAGGGTTCTAGGGGACAAGGCTTCTCTGTAAGATCAAAAGAGTCAAAAAAGGCGGGTAGCAACGATCAGAACTTGTCAAAACAGTGTCTTTTTTATACAATTTTTGTTTGTACGATTGTTGACTTTTTGCGATTCATTTTAGGATGTTTKGGCTGTGCATTCTAGTACAGTTCCTTTTTAAAGAATGACGACCACAGGGAGCCCAACTGACGAATTCGATGCAAGAAATTTTATAAGTTGTCAAGTATGGAATCAAACAYGCAAAAGTTTAAAGCAAACACTATCTGCTAACTGATCTGCTAATAAGCTCACRTTTGAATTTAATTGCAATAAGACAGAATAATTTATGAGATTTTCCAGGCCCTCGACGTCTGACCCCTGTTCCTAGGCAACCGTGTTAGACATGCGCGCTAGTCAAACAATCAAATCGCGTTTTGATATTCAGAGATATTTGTGAATGTATTAGCATTTTTCTCTAATTTGTAACCTTTYTAGGTTACAGGAAAGCATTAGGTCTTCTTGTGAAGGATATTTAGAATTTTGGGGTATATTTTGAAGAAATGAGAATGGTTATTTGTTGGAATTGTGCCTGACAATCATAAGGTTTCATTCTGTCATTGGAGGAGCTTGGAGACGGTCTCAAACACTGCCATGCAAGCACAAACTATACATAAAGGACCGGCACCACAGCCTTCTGTACTTCCTCCTTTACAAAATCTTCCATCTTGGTCAAGGAGTTCGCTAGAACGAAGGAGACAGCCTCGACCTATTGTTCGTGATCAACAATCCACCGATCATGTCGAAGATGGCGATGAGAAAGATATTGGAATGGATGAACACCAGAAAAACGTTTCGTGTCTGAATGAGCCAAGGATTGTTTCAGCTCCCTCTAGAACGGGAGAAAAAGATCTAAGGCAAAAAGTTACCGAAATGGAGAAGAGTTTAGACTTTGTTCAAAACGAACATGCTCAAGTTCTCAAAAATTTACATGAAGAAATTGAAAGATTAAAGGCTGAAAACAAAGGTAGAAAATTCTCGTTACCTTATGTAATAAATACATTTATTCAACAATACTTAAGCCCTTTATARTTTTACTCATTTTGTTTCTTATGTTTGATTTGTATCCTGTTTTAACAGACTTGAACTTCAAGCTCGTAATGTCACGCTCTGGTGTAAATGTGGAAGGTAAAGTTAAAGATTAATAATGAATTTAGGGTGTTGGTYTGATAGTTAAAATGTATCGAATAAACAGTTTATCCTTAAATGTCTCTTGTTCTAAAATGCATTGACTATCTAGTGTTTGATTAGCTTTTTTCATTTGACATGTTGGAATGATTTTTGCTCTGTTTACAGGTGGTTCTATTCTGTTCGTTTTATTTACTCATTCATAATTTTTTCATAGTAAAGCAAAAATGTGGGATGATGCGTGTATTTTTCAAAGAAATTCTGTGAAATTCCATTCAAAATACTTTTTTTTTTTACTTCACACACACAATGAAAAGATAAATGAAAGAACAGAGGACATAATCAATGAAAAACAAAGATCAATGAAAGAACAGAGGACATAATCAATGAAAACAATGAGGGTTTGGCTGAAGTTGTCTTTTCATGAATACATTATTGATCCTTTAAAACATTACAATAAGGAAACTTAATTTCTATTTACAGACTGAGACATAACACACTAAGCCATGTAGCTTGCACACTTGGAAAGACTGTGTGGTCTATATTTTGGTTAATGCATGTTTTATTGATTTTCTAACACAGAAATAAGTCCAGTTCCCTCTGAAGAGATTGATAAATTATCCCAATCTCAACGTAAACCATTAAATGGTTAGTATTGTCTACAGTGATACATGCTTATAAATCTGAAAATTTAAAGAAATAATAAGTTTTGACATTTCAGGCTACAATTGTAAAATCTAAAATATGAATATTGGCTGATAGCAGCTTTAATGGGTCAGATAAACCATAACTCATGATGGATCCTGCTCTTTTTGTTGGTGACAAACAACAAAATTTAATATATAACTGTGAATGGAGCTTAAGTAAAAGTTTTATGTAATTTTTGACTCTCCTTTATGCATAGTCTGTCCTTGAAAAGAGTTCAGTCTAACCATCTGATGCTAATGGTGGCTGTATTTGGCTATTACATGCTCACGTTGTCATGTCATTATGTTTTTACAGAAAAACAGTCTTCAGCTAAGAAAGAGAAACAATCTAAATCAAGCAAGTCAGCTTCAGAAAGTTTAGATAAAGTACAAAAACAGACGTCAGAAACAAAGCAAAACTCTAGGAATTCTTCTGCTTCTATGAAAAAGAGGTAAGTTTTTGTTAATGTTTGTGAATGTCCATTATTACACATTTAAGTGTTTGTTTTGCAACATTTGTTAAATTCTTACCTTTGAAGACAGATCTATAGACTTTACTTTCAACATCCACATCAAGGATTCTGATTTAGCATGTTGCAATCTAAATCAGTTTAGGCTTAAACATTATTCATTATTGTATAAGTCTAGGCTGGTTAAGTTTGCCTCATTGCAATCAGTCAGTCAGTCTATCAGTCAGTCAGTCTATCAATCATTCAGTCAGT